GTCTTAAAGGCTTGAAGGTAAACAAGCAGCCATCTAGCTCAGAAGCAACAAAGCCCACATGGAAGAAGCACACCAGCCTGCATGATCCCAAGGTGCCGAAGGGATCAGGTATCAGGCATCATCAGAACAAAAACTCTTATATTGAACGAGGGGGAGTGTGGAGTGGAGACCCAAAGCCCATTTGTAGGCCACTGGACATCCCCTTACAGAAGGGTTTCGGGGAGGAGACGAGCCAGTCAGGGTGTGATGTAGCAATGATGAAACATACAACTTTCCTCTAGTTCCTAAATGCTTCCTCCCCCCACACTATCATGATCCCAGTTCTACCTTACAAATCTGGCTAGACCAGAGGATATACACTGGTACAGATAGGAACAGGGAACACAGGGAATCCAGGACAGATGATCCCTTCAGGACCAGTGGTGTGAGTGGCGATACTGGGAGGGTGGAGGGACAGTGGGTTGGAAAGGGGGAACTGATTAGAAGGATCTACATGTGACCTCCCTGAGGGACAAACAGAAAAGTGGGTGAAGGGAGATGTCAGACAGGGCAAGATATGACAAAATAATTTATAAGTTACCAAGGGTTCATGAGGGAGTGGGGAGCTGGGAGGCAGGGAAAAAATGAGGAGCTGATGCCAGGGGCTCAGATGGCGAGCAAATGTTTTGGGATTGCTGAGGGCAATGAATGTACAAATGTGCTTTACACAATTGATGTATGTAGATTCTGATAAGAGTTGTATGAGCCCCTAATAAAACGATTTATATATATAAAGCCCACATGTTGTATGATTCTAGGTAGAGCACATATCCATAATAGGAAAAGCTACAGACAGGTTAATGGTTCCCTGATGTAGAATGAGGAAAACCTGGGAAATAAGAGAATGATAGCTACAGAGTATGACTGTTCTTTTTTTTTAATTGAACTGAGGAAAAACATTCTAAATATGAGTGTACTGATGGTTGCACGTATCTGAAAATACTGAAATACAATGAATTGTACACGTTGGTGCATTATACTACAGCATGTGAATCATTAAAGATGTTATTAAAAAGTAGTAGTCCACGTACATATTGAATCATTGGGTCAAAGGGAAAAAAAAAAAGGTAAAACAAACTGGCAACGTCAGCAAATGTCTTCCATGGCGAGGTTTACATTAGGTACATGGTAACAACAACTAACATGATCTTCACCTCTCACCCCGCCCCGTTGGGAGGAGTGAGCTACACTGGGCCACGCAGACAGACATGTGCACCCTATGCAGGCATGCCTGGTTTCGTGGTGCTATGCTTTGATTGTAGGTTGCAGGTCCCGTGGTTTTAGAAAATAAATGGAAAGTTTGGGGCAACTCTGTTTCTAATAAATGTCCTCGTGCCAGTTCTGAAACAGTATGCGCGTGCTTTGTGTCTGTGACTATCTGGGTGATTCTCACAATATTCAAACTTTTCCCGAATGCTAGTACACCTTTAATGGACTACAGCATAATGCAGACATAAGTTTGATGTGCACCGTGCAAGGAAAACATCTGCGTGGCTCCCTGGACGGTGCTCTTTGCTTTACTGTGTGGTCTAGGATGGGACTTGGTCCATCTCTGAGAGAGGCCTATACTTTCATTCAATTCTATAGGGAATTTTTTTTCACGTAGTAAGTAAAACATCACTAAATTGAAAGCACATCTACCCAGAGCTAACAAAACTCAGCGTCTGATGAACGGATCATCTTAGCTTTTCCTCTTCACTATTTAACTACTAAGGAGAGCAGGTAGCGCAGTAGGAACCTCGTGGCCTTGTGGTTTCACTGATGGGCTGCTAACTGTGAGGTCAGCAGTTGGAAACAACCAGAATCTCCGGGAGAGAAAGACAGGGCTTTCTACTGTGAAGAGTTTCAGTCTCGGAACCCTAGAGGGGCAGTTCTACCCTGCCCTATAGGGTCACTATGAGTCGACATGGACTGGTGGGAACTGGTTTGGGTTCTCGGTGCTTCTGTGGGAGAAGCATTAGGCTGCTAACTCATACCAATTTACTCCTACGATGAGTCCCGGTACTTTTCACATCTACCCTCCAACAATGGAGACAACCATGCCTTAACATTTTGTTAAACTACTAGGTTAGCATAGATTTTTATTTCCAAACTTCATTTCTTTAAAAAAAATCATTTTTTTGGTTATTAGTAAGGTAGAATTTTCTTGTGTGTATTGCCCATTTTCCTATTGGAATAGGCCATCCTAAAATTATTAGGATTCATTAAAAACTAAGTTTTTGCCCCCCTCCTGAGGAAAGGTAAGAACTGTGTAGAGGAATGGTACCGTTTAGGGAAATACTGTGCATCTCCTTTTGTGACATCAGCTGATTCTTTGTTCACAATTAATTAGCTGTTTTCAATGCATCCTCATTTAGCATCTACATGAAGCGATCTCTATGAAGTGCTTTTAGATCAGCGTTTTCCATTATGACTGTAATGTCTAACTGACCTTTGGAGACACAATCACATTATGTAATCACCCCTTGTAGCTAGCTGAAGAGCTGTGTCTACAGAGGCCATTGGGATGAGGTGAATAAGCATGGCACAAATCTGAGCCCCGGTGAAAGCCTCGCCCCTATGCGGAGGCACAGCAGGACCAGTCTGTAGCCAGAGCTCCTCAGTAGTGCGGTTCTGAGAAATGCCAGGACAAGTTAGACGTCTGATCGCTGGGCTGAAGTCCTCCACGTTTGCTTTTGAAAAATCCCCTGAAAGAATTTGAGCTTATCATCTAAAGCCAGAAATACCACTTCAGGGCATGTGGACCCAAGATAAAGCCCATGGGCTTCTGAAAGTGAGGGGGAATCTGAAAGGGAGTTGCATCTCTATCCACGTCCTTGATCCGTGGGTTACAACAGTGGACAACCTGCTACCAGCTGAACAGCACGGACCATGAGATTGAAAATCTTGATGAGATTTATTTTTCCGCCATAGCGATAAATCAGAAGGAGTGCCTCACTGTGAAATGACAAGTTTCCAAGTCTGTGTTGGCCCCCAAATATACAGTCTCTGGTCTCCAACCTCTAAAGAGATTAGCACAGAATAACTGCACTTGAAACAGTGCCTCACATACCAAGTTCCCACTCGACTTCAAGACAATTTACTTCAAGTTATTACAACTAATAGGAACCCCGTTACTACACAGAACCCTCTAGCCAACCAAAGCCCGGGCCAGTGCTTTCCTGTACATTCACCTCCATGCCCTCACAGTGGACAACAAGGCTTTGGGTTCTCTGGGGGGTGGCGAGGCCCACTGAGTGTTGACTCCCAGGGGTGCCCGGCATCTCTGAGCAAAGACCCTTCCCGGAGGCTACAGAGCCACCCTGCGCTCTGTGAGATGCGATGCCCGGAACCAGCCTCGGAGGAAAGGCACCAAGATAGCAGAGGCCTTAAAACCCACTTGGTTTTCCTGCTGGTTTTAGTTTCAGCCCCCAGGTCTCTGAGAAAACTTCCTTTACCATGAATTCCTCTACCATAGAAAAGGGAAATTACAGAAAAAGGACTTCTGTAACCAGAACAGGATCTATTCACTGCAGAGCCCACCCCCTGCTGGCGAGTCAACTCTGACTGTCCTGGTGGGAGGGCAGGGCAGCACTGCTCCGCAGAATCTCTGAAACAGTTCATTCTCGCGGGAACCAACAGCCTCGTCTTCCTCCCACCGAGCGGCAGCTCAGGTTGGATCACCACCCTGGGGTGAGCAGCCCAATGCTGAACGCACCGGGCAACACAAGTCACGACGTGAGCCGTCAGCGAGTGACTGGGGTAGAGCAGTAAAGCCGTTACAGTATAGCCCTTTGAGCCAGAGCAGCCTCTGGGGAGGGTCCCGTGCGTCTATGCTGTAATCAAGGAGCACTGTGGGTCAGGGCTGCCAACGACAGCAGTTCAAAGGCACCAGCTGCTCTGAGGGAGACAGAGGAGGCTGTCTGCGGCTGTGAAGATGGACAGTCTCAGACACGCGCACGTCCGACAGAGTTGCTGTGCGTTGAGTGGACCCAAGAGCAGAGTGTTCTTTACAATGAACCAACCAGTCATTGGCGTGGCCCCTCCCACTCAGGGTGAGTTGTGTGAGTGTGTGTGTGTGTGTGTGTGTGTGTGTGTGTGTGTGTGTTTGCAAAGGCTGAACTTCTGAAGAAATCATTCTTCCAAGATGCCTCTGAGCAGGTCCAAGCCACCACTCAGATGGCTGTTAAGTAGAAACTAACTCCCTGTTAGAATGGCTCGCTTTCGTTTCTGTGAATCTGGTCAAAAATAGCAACAGGTCTGACTCGGAAGAAGTACAGACAGAATGCTCCTTAGAGACAAGGATGGCAAGACTCCCTCTCACGTACTTTGGACACGGGGTCAGGAGAGGGAGAGACCAGTTCCTGGAAGGACAGGATGCTTGGTAAAGTAGAGACTAGACTTTCCCTTGCCTGCACTATGGCAGGACTGACAGTGGCGGCAACGGTGAGCTCACACAGGGAACAACGGTGAGGGTGGCGCAGGGCGGGGACACATGCAGGGTCGCTGTGAGTCAGAACTGACTCGGGCACCTAACACCAACAGCTGTTATCCACCGCAAGAAGTGCCCGAGAGAGCCCCTCGGCAAAAAGAAGACTTTTGGTTCAATAGTATTGGGTCGCAGCAAATCTGCCCATCAAAAGAAGGGGAAGAACAGGACCCTTGTTGGTTGTCAAAAGCTTTTAAGAAAATTTAATACGCAATCCTGCTGAAATAATTAAATGAACTATAAAATCAAGTTTATGCCTTCAGTGGTAAAAATCTCCAATCAATTGCTAGCCAAGTGCTTAACATCTACACACCACCCCGCGTTCCAGTCAGGACCTCTGGCCACATCATTGCACTGTGCTTGTGGGAGGTCTAGCCACTTCAGAGGGGCGAGAGACACGTCAGAGTCACGTAAGATCATTACGATGGCAAAGAGAACCAACTACACTGAGATCATTTCCTATCAAACCAAGACACTCCTTTGTGATCCAATGATGTGTATTCTTCTTTGGTGATCAATGGAAAGATCTAGCCGTAGTAGTCCTGAGAAAGAGTCATGTGACAAAGAGACACCTGTGATGACCACTTGTGAGAACTGGATATGGAGAATTTCAATTAGAGGCCCATGAAAATCCACCCAAATTCCCAGGATCAACTCCTCTCCCCACCCTAGTGCATGGGACACTCTCTGGGGGTTAAAAAAAAATCCCTCACTAGAGGCTCCCAAGGCCTCTTCCAACCGTCAGAGTCTGAGCCCATGAAAACCTACTATCTTCCACCTAAGCTTCAACGTGATCTCCTCAGTGAATGCCAACAGATTGGTTTTAAACATGATTGCGGAAGGAAAATAATCCAGGTGATTCGTCTGAGTGATTCTCTGATGAGGAGCATTCTTTATGCTTAATACAGCTAGACAGTAAACAAAAGGGGATTTTACTCTTTAATATTAAAGAGGGGGAAAGTGAAAAGACATCTGTGAGATATTCCAAAATGTACACCCTTTTGCAACGGTGGAAGAGCAAGAGAGACGCACGCCGGGGCCCTCCGGCCTCCCCATTTGTGATCTGGGGCTGGAGAGCCAGGCAGGGACAGAGAAGCCAGCAACAGCCCTGGCTCGTCAGCATTGCGCTCCTGTTAACTAGCTTTCTACCACTCTCCTGTGGGGAAACTGGTCCTGCTCACAACCAACGGACTCCTGTCTGCCTTAAACGTGTCCCTTCCTCCCCAAACCACTGCATTTGCAAAGAGAAGCTCCTACCATGATCACCACTCCGCACCCCACACACCCGCACACCGCTGAGGGGGACTGCCTGCTGACCACACCGCATCTTACCTTTATTGTTGTTCCGAACAAGAGACAATCCACGCGCCGTACAACCTTCAGCCAGTTCTTGCTATCAATGAGTGAAAACCCTTCCTGAAACAAAATAATGAGGCAAAATTAGCAATGGAAGCAAAAAGGAATGTGAAGAATAGCGTTTGTGCAGCTGCTTGCTATGGGAGTTGTGTGTTTATGCGGCACCTTAAGCAGTGACTCAACATCACCAACTGCTCAGCGTGACGCTCGAAGTCCCCACAAGTGCTTCCTACAGATCAGCACGATTATTCTCAACGTATTTTGATTTTTCCTTAATCTTTTCATACCGAAAGTCGATAAGGCATTAAAGAAAGTGTCCACAGTTATATTTTCTATAAAAATAGCTTTCTTGAATGCTAGGTTTTGCCAACTTTGACTTTATAGGCCTTACATTAATTCTACTATTTTATTAACTTATCTGCAACAGCCCTAAATGAACAATGAGATTTCTCCTCCTGAGAATCAACTCCAGCTTCCCAGGAACGAGAAAACGGAAGCCCTTTGCTTCTGGATAATGAACATCTGGCTATTCTTCTCAATCCGAAAGCCCAACCAACCACAGAAGGCAAAAGAGGGCAGTAGAGGGCACACAAGTCACAAAAGAGGGACAAGAATTGGTCCCTGCAGGTCACAGCGAGATGAACTTACTCTGCAGCTTACTGATCAAGTACACAGAATGGACTACCTCACGATATGGCAGCTCTTAAAAGCCAATTTACACTGTCCACAGAGCTCCTCACCTAAACGGCCCATTTAAACTGGACGATCCTTCAGGACCAGTGGTGTGAGTGGCGATACTGGGAGGGTGGAGAGAGGTTGGGTTGGAAAGAGGGAACCGATTACATGGATCTACATGTGACCTCCTCCCTGGGGGACGGACAACAGAAGAGTGGGCGAAGAGACGTCGGACAGGGCAAGATATGACAAGATGATGATTGATTGATTGTTGGGGGTTCGTGAGGGAGCGGGGAGCAGGGAGGAAGGGGGGAAAATGAGGAGCTGATGCCAGGGGCTTACATGGAGAGCAAATGTTTTCAGAATGAGGGCAATGAATGTACGGATGTGCTTTACACAATTGATGTGTGTATGGATTGCGAGAAGAGTTGTATGAACCCCTAATAAAACGATTAAAAAAGTAAACTGGAATGCGTTTAGCACATACCAAAACTAATCCAAGGAATTGATAAGCTGCCAGTCTTGGGGCAAACGCATGGCCTTTCTACTTTGTAGACTTTGCAATGTTATGTAATGGTGGTGCCCCACTGCCAGCTGAGGCCAGGGGTGGGACGGGGGAATCCAAGAAGTGCCCAACTTGAGGAAAACAAAGGGAATGTTAGCCTTCATCTAGCCAGTCCCTTACCAATCCCTCTTCCTGAATTCTAATGTGAGGAGACGAGTAGATAATAGAATGGGTGACCTTTTCTTTTTTTCAAAACCATTTTGTTGAGAGTGATGCCAGGCCACATGAGAACTGTCCAGGAGCTGAAGCCAGAAGACACCAGGGCATTCTTCTGAGGCCACTCAGAAGCTTCTCCCCGAATCTGGATCCTGAATTCAGACTTCTTGCCCAGTCAACAGTGAGAGACTAAATGTGTTTGTTAAAGTCATCTACTTGTAATACTTCAGTTACAGCAGCACGGAAAACAGCAGTGGATATTCTCCTATCTGCCTGTACTTACATAAAGCAACTGGAAGAATCCACAGAGTGAATACAAATTCTTACTGCAGGGGAATGAGCAAGGCAGCTGGGAGTCGGTGTTGGAATGAGATCTTTCAACTTTTCATACTGCTTTGGCTTTTAAACCAGTCATAGTCTCTTAGGCACGCATATGCGAATATTTGTGCAATATCCACTTCAGTAGGACATGAACCTGAGTACGTCAAGGAAGAGGTAAAAAATCTTCCCAATTTTTTTTTTTGTAAACCTAAAACTATTCTAAAGTAAAAATGTTTATTAAAAAAAAAAATCAACTCTTAGCCTGTTTCCTCTTCCCATCTCCAGCCCCAAGTGGATCCCACAGGACATCACCCCCACTGGGCTAGTGCGCCGACAGCTCAACACACATGTGCCCAGACCAGAGGGCAGC